TTCTTCTCGGTGAGATTTCAACGTTTGTAATGCTATACTTATAACTGAAATCACTGCTTATCACTGAAAATATACTGATTTTATTTAAGAGAGTAGTTGTAACGAGGGACCATCTAATATCCAACTATCAAAGCACTATAAGCAATGTATACAAATTTTGAGCAGCTAATCATGGGTTAAGCGCATCAACATATTGATTATGTAAGCATTAAATATCGCATCGTAAGTCAATAATTACACAGCTCAATAAACATCAATCTAGATCAATGCAATGTGTCGAACACATGTCGAGATAAGAGAAGAGCGAGAAAAAGATTTCTAGAATTTATATCAGGCACTCGTATTTCGTGAAAATAATCTTCACGATCACGATAATTATTTTATGAATGAACTATTGTCAACGAGCTCCAAATGTACTCGATAAGCAGATTAACGACTGAAACAGCTGTAGACATACGACTCTTTGAATAGATAATCGATAATCGCATATCCCAATCGCCGTAAAAAAATGTCCATTTAAAAATTGCACGGATTGCTGACGTTTATTAATCCTATCTGGAAAATTCTACGTTAAAAACTATTAAAACATGTTAAAATAACTATTAACTAAATAACTATTAAAACATATTAACATAACTATTAACTATGATACGATAAGATAAAATAACATCTAAAAAAGTAAAAATAAACCACACATTAAAAATACATAGTTTTTAAAAACATATCTTAATCTTTGCAAAACAGACACAGTGTTGGAAAAGATCTCTTTTTTTTTTTTTTGCTAGCGATCGGAATATTTAATAAACACCAATTTGTGATATTTTCGTCAATTTTAATCTTTAATCGTGAATATGTCACTTAAAAGACACCTTGTGACAGCTTTTCACTTGTATAATTTATTGAATTTATCTTTAGCCTTTCTCTCTCGCGCACTAATAAAATATTAATTTTTCCCTATTACTCTTCCTCTCCTTGTCTTTTCTAAAATTAATTTCTTTAAATACATAATTTTTTTTATACCGTGCAAGGAAATTCACCATTTGTAACGAGTTTCTATCCTCAACAGTAAATTACGTAGCGAGTAAGTGAAGTTTTGATAAAGTTTAAGTTTCCGTTGAGATCAAATCGACATTTAGAATTAATGGGAAAACAAAGCTTCCTTTATCCCTTTACATCTTTAATCACTTTTTAATTCACAAAGATCCCTTTATATAAAAAGTAAAATATCTTCATGTCATCAGGATTTGAAAATGTTCATCAAGTGAAAAATGGACTTCAAACTCATCAAGAGATCTCAGGTTTTTTAAGCGCTCTTATTATTAATAAAAAAATTTACAGTTATCCAAGAATCTTCTTGGAATATTTTTCAATAAATCTAAGACATGTGCTGAACAGAGTACTATACATAATCAAGAGCTAAAAATATAGAACGAGAAAATGATAAATATCATCCATGGGGACTATTGATATTTACTCAACTCCGAAGAGATCTCAAGGCGCAAATATTGATATCCCAATAACAGCTGTTCCGTAAAGATCAACATGAACCTAATCACTTATATACGTCACTTGTGCCGGCAATGCTCGAAAAGAGACTGACTCTCTCTTTCTCTCTCTCTCTCTCTTTCTCTCTATCGGACGTTCCCTTTCGCGAACTAAATCCGCGACAAGCGTTGGCCGAGTGGCGAATGAACGCGTGCATAGAACGTCGCGTTGGGTGCACGCGATTGACAACACGCGGCCGGTGTGTCGCGTACAGAAATAGATTCGACCGGTATATACAGAGTGTCCCCCGTGCAAGAGGAGCACGCCACAGCGCGCACGCTTCGTGTTCTATTTCGTATATTGGTTCAACTTTCTTTAAACTACTTTGAAGACTATTTCCTCTAAAGTTTTGAATTTATTCTTCCAAAATTACATCGTCAATTTTCTCCGTGAAGGTATATAAAACATTAAATATATCAAATTGGAGGAACAAAACTTTTTAATACGCGAAGTAAGATTGAAGTTAATTCTAAATTTAATACCTCCGACCCAAGACACACAATTTACGTTTTCTACCTTCACGTTCCTTCTTATTTCTACTTATTTTTATTTTTCAACAATTTTTTCTAATTTTAATATATTTATCGTGTTATGTATAAAATATATGTGTTACATATATGTTACACAAAGAGCCAAATGTCGAATTATTATTTTTTATAAAAATTAATCCAGGTCATATGTGAAATCTGGTGACTTCAGCTGTCCATATAGATTCCATGTGTGACTTCGATGCACTACAGGGAGTCCGCTTATAGATCCCAGTTATAGATAATTATGTTTGAATTATTTCTCTGTCGTCAATGAGAACTGATCCACGCCAACTTAACATGTATCCGTCCTGCAAACAATTCGCGAATTATATATATCGCGGCGTGATATCTAAATGGAATTACAAGATCTCTGCAAAACATCTGCTTTGCGCATAGACTAGAAATCGAGACCGAACAGCACAATAGAATCAAACATCTTACGGTTATAAGATTTAAACTTTGGTTTACATCTAGTTCTGACTTACTCCGAGTTTTATTCGCCTAACATGAAGGTCGTATTTGATATTCTTGTATATGTGTATGGCAGTCATGTTACATAAAAATTATATTGAACTTATTATTACATTAAAAAGATAGTGAATTCAAATCGCTTTGTTTTATCGCGGAATAAATCGATATTTTATTTATTTTCTTCACATTTTTAGAATAAATATTTTACATAAACGACAATAGTTGTAGGGGCCTATTTTGTAACTTTTAACGATATCAATACGTGTCATTGCGCAGCTAAAACATATCGGAAAATCGCTGCGCAATATGATACCTATAACGACATCGTTAAAAATTGCAGAATAGGCCCCTTAGATAAGATAATAATTTTTCTACCATGAAAAGTCTCAATCTACTATAAAGTCATTTCAGAGGACGAAGTAACTCGAGTTTATACCGTAATCAATTTACCGAGTATGTTTAAGTCAGGAAGCGCTTTTCATTCCATATAATTCGTCTTAATTATTAAATTTGTTTTAAGTTTTCATACGTAATTGGATGACGCACTCGTTTAGAGGATGTCAAAAATTTCTCCCGCATTTACCCTCGACTATAAATTTTCTCAATTTGCGATATCGAGGCGAATATATTATAGGAATTATGAGAGAATCCGTTGAAATTTCAACCCAGTAGAAAAATGGAGCTGGAATTCGTCAAAAGCGCGTTCGTAGACAAAAGAAAGAGAATGCAGGATAATTCTAGGACATCACATCCGGAGGATATCGCAGAATATCATCGGCGAAAGCCGATGAATTCATCTTTGATAAAAAAGTCCGCTCTCGTTCAAAGAAAATTGATAATGCTTTCATCGAGACACTATGCGTGTAATAAAAAAGCGAAACCCATCGAAAGATGTGCGTAATTAAAGTGACGGCTCTGGTTACTCTCGCCTCGTGTTTCGTCTATTATCAGTAACACTTTACAACTCGTGGTACATGTATTATCGCGTGAATACAATTTCAAAGTTGCAGCCATCAATTCGTATTTTCGCGAAGCGCGAAACGTTATCATTAAACATTATTAATATCAAGAGATCATTGTACATAGTTCCATTCGTATAACGGTTTCGATTATTTCATCCAATTGCACGTTATTTAAAGAAATAGTTTTATAACGGGGTTTTATTTCTTTAAGCATCCAATATATAACCATCGTTGCTTTTTTTTTCCCCCCGTGAAGGGTAAACGCGTCTACTAAATTGCGATCGCGTCGAGAGAAGTGTGGGCGGTGATCGCGTATCTCGCGAACGGATAAACGAAAGCGGAAGTAAACTATGCGCAGCGAAACTCCGTCGCGAATAGAACGAAATTTTGCGTTCTCTCTGCAACGAAATTACACTGAATATATCCAATTATTGTCCTCATATACGTAAGAAAACTTCGATGCGACGTGATCTTTGTCGTAAACGGAATTAGCCATTGTTTACGTGACCTGCTGTCTCTTGACAAACGCAATTTTTTCGCTGAGAAAAAAAAAAGGAAACAAACTTTATTAGAAACTCTTGCTCGTGAAAAGGTTAATCATCGATGATTGAAGAGTTAACTTGAATAAATCAATTTGAATAAGTCGCGAAACGTATTTGAATTTGCGTGTCGTAACTCAAATCAATTCGATTTGTTGCTTAATTTACGTGATAATAAGCCGTCATTCATCATAGATAGTGTCATCTATATCGTGTTTTCTAAAATTAACGAGAATAAAATATTTCAATTGATAAATATTTCACAAGCTGATACGAGTTTCGTATCATATGTGAATGAGAGGCTTACTCATTCCTAACAAATAATGTAAACTTTATATCATGTATGTAAAGCCTATCAATCCGTAAAGAGAGAGAAAGAGAGATAAAACATTTTATTTTATAAATATTCGATAACAAATCTGTTTACAACGTGATTTTTTTTTTTTTTTTTTTTTTTTTTTTTTTTGTTTTTTTTTTTTTTATTATTAGCGCTTATAAGTATGTATTGTACATTAATCTTTTCGTTTTATTTATTTATAATTTAGTTGCCATTTTTCTCTTATGCTTCAATCTATTTGTTCATTTATCCTCGCATCTATTGGATCATTTCGTAACACGCGAGTTTCATCAAAGATCATTTAATTTATATAATGCAAAATATGCATACAAGATGAAAGATTTTGTTAGATACATTTTTCTCGAAACGCACGAAAATATTCTAATCGAACACAGATTTTCCTATCGATGTTTCGTAATCGTCGCCAATCAATTGAATTGTTTATAACCATCACGAAAACACAATTTAGAAGTGGCAAAAGACGTCGATGAAAACATCGACAGGAACGTCGAAATGGGTGGTAGGAATCAGACCACTTTTGCAATTAACGGAAAACGTATTGTTGCTAAAGAAGATAGACTCATCGCAGTGCGAAATATATAAGATAGCTACTCACCAGCGATCGCCTCAGCCGCGCATCCTCCCAAAATACTCTCTCTCTCTCTCTCTCCGGCGCCTCCACCTCCGCCTCTTTCTCCGTCGCCGCCTCTGGTCGAACAGCAAGCCGGTGGCCGCGACGCACCACCCGAAATCCTTCGCGGAAAATCCGTCGCGCGGAATTCCGCTCGCCAAGTCACGAAAAGCGACGCGGCGCGGACTCGCGCATCTCACCGGGACGGCGTTTTTCTTTTCTCTCCCTTGAAGTTTGCTCGCGGACGACGACACACGTCGCGGACGGAAAATGACCGGGTCCGACACCGCGAAGAGATCGGGGTACTCTCGCTAATCACGGAGATATTACCGGTTCGAGACGGGAGAGGATATTCCCGGAGCGCAATGAGTTTTTGGCTCGCCCCGCCGAGAGGATAGGGATGAGGGACGGGAGAGAGGAGAGAAAGATACGTTTGTTGTGTGTGTATGTGTGTGTCGAGAGAGCGGCGAGGGACAAGAACGCGGCGCGACAAACGAGAGAGGAGAGTCTGATAATTCGATACGATTTGACCGGACGAAGACGGTTACGTTTCGCGCGTCATGTCCGCGTCGCGGCGAGAGAGACATGGAAAGAACAAATGTAAGGAAGAAGGGTGAACGCGCGCGCGATGCGAGAAGAAACCTCCCCTTGGATACGAATGCGCTGCTCGAGCGACAGCATCCGACTGAAGTTGACCGAAGCACTGAAGTTGGTGCGGAGCGGGTGGAAGTGCGCGACGCTGCCAGTGGCGCCGCGCAGCGGCCGTTTTCATAACTAAGAAACGTCATACGTGTCAATAACTTGTCGCAATATAACGAAACGTTATATATCAAGCCTGTTTTACACGATTTGTAATTTCTGACGAAATTCGTGACAGAATTCTGCTTGTAATCTTACATATCGTGTAATATAAAAAATATTTGAAGAGATTTACACATAGGATAAGAATCATAGCGCTTATCAGTCGTCGGATGAGAAAGTAACTTATTTTATCGACTTATACAATGATCGATTGCGCGTTTATCGACACTTAAAATGTTTACAGCGATTTTTCAGAAAAAAAGAGGACGGTTAAACGCTAACGGAACGTTATTATTCTTCCAGTATTCAACGTGTTAACCGTATTTTTTTTTCATATAACATATAGCAGAAGATAGAAGAGGTTTTTTAGAGAACAGAAGTAAATAATTTTTTAGAAAACCGCTGTAAATAATGTGTAGAAAAGAAAACAAATCGACCCAAGCAAAAACGGCCAAATTCAATAAGTAACATCCGCAATCAATATAAGACTATAGAACGTACTGTATCCATGCATCATGTTTATATAGGTTCGTTCGTTTCAGCTGCACCTTCCGCGTGGAAAAGGAAAACGGATCGACACGGCCAGACTTCGAAGGGAGAAGGAGAAAACGGACGAAAGTGTAGAAGGTACAACCGAACCACGTGACACAGAGCGTATATTGCGCTGCGCCTACACCAGGCGCGCCTGGCACGAGCCGCAATACGGCTCCGTCGACGTTTCGCCGACTTCTCGCTTTCGGTCGACCGTTAGTAGGCCACGATCGTCGCTGGTCGTCGCGATGAACGTCATCGTCGTGATCGCACGCCGGCAGCGCGACATCCGGGTCCTCGAGACGGCCCGCGGCATCGAGCCGCGATTCCCGTCTCAGCGTCGAGATTGAGCTGACACGAGCGTCACATCGTGCAACGAGTGCACGAGCACGAGGTGAGAGAACAAGACAGAGAGAGAGAGAGAGAGAGAGAGATAAGAATTCCGTCTGTATTCGATGGATAAAGAGCGAGGAAGAGAGAGAGCGATGAAGTCTCCTCCTCCTGTTTACAATTCCCCTGTGCAGTCAATGTTTATCGCCGCGTAATCACTGTCAAACGGAACGAGAAGCGGAATTCGCGCATCCGTCGACGATACAGCTTCAAGCGTGCGACTTTGTCTCCTCCTTTTTTTTTTCTCATCGCAAATGAACGGATCTCCCCGCTTCTTTCGCGCTTGCATTCAGCATCACATCAGCATCAGCAGTGCTGTACGATTCCACGAGCCGGTCTCATACGCGATATTCCCGTCGCGTTTTACAGACAGTAAACGCGCGATCGGATGGCTACGCTGCGTTAATTAACTGAGAAAAAAACGGAGGAAAAACAAATAAAAAGGACTGCTCGATTGCGAGAGATCGGCGCGAACGGGATCGATTTTTCATTCGCGTACTCGGTAAAATCAGATTAAATTAACGCTTTATATATATAACATAACAAATAAAATCGATTGCGAGAGATCGGCGCGAACGGGATCGATTTTTCATTCGCGTACTCGGTAAAATCAGATTAAATTAACGCTTTATCGCTTTATA